GAAGCTGCAGAAAGTCTAAGTCGAGAGGTTAGGTTCTACTTTCAACAAACTGGAGAGCGAAGGAAAGAAAAGAGGGTGGTAAGGGGGCAGAAAGAGAAAGAAACTGAGGGAGAGCAGACTGGGGGAGAAGTGTGAGGAGGGAGGAGCTCGTTGTAGGGACTCACAGAAACAGAGGTTTATACTCTGGTGTAGGGAAGTTGGGTTTTCCTGAAGGGAAAGAGGATACTGTCTTGGAGAGAGGGCCCAGAGGAGGGTGGATGAGGCCAAGGCCCGGGAGAGAAGGGATTAGCCTTTAACGAAAGGGGCACCTTGTCCCTTGTTAGGGGAGGGTGGAGGGTGGGAAGGATGTTGGAGAGGCAAGCCAGTCTTGGGGGTTGGGGCAGGGCACTGAGGTAATCCATGCTTGAAGGCCTCTGTTTTCTCAGGGAAGTGGGAGGAGAGGCTGTTCTGAGCAGGGAGAAGGGTGCGGCAGGAACATGGTAGGGAACTGAAGGAAATTTGGAATGAGGCCCAGAGAAACGTGGAGGCTGCTTTGGGGCCGTGACAAGGGAACCTGTCTGAGGTTGGTGGAGGGGTTCCGGTTTGGCAGAGGCTAATTAAGTCTGTCTTCCTCCACCCTTTAAGCTGTGAGCACCTTGGGGCAGGAGCCACAGCACCTTCCTCATTCTAACTCATCTCCCTGCCAAGCAAAGCCTAACAAAGCGTCTGCCTCAGAGAGTGCAACCTTCTCCTCCCAGAAAACCTGGGCAAGCCATCACTGATAAACCCTGCACATTACAACCGATAAAGAAATTAGTTGTTATCGTCATTGCCTTTATTGGAAGTTCCCCTGTTTGGCTTATCCTGGTCCTTCCTGCTATCCCTTTGACCACCCCATTTCTGTTCTGTACTCAGTACAAGAGAGAACGGGTAGGTTCTGATATTTTGGTTCAGCAACAGGCTCTCATCCCCCAACAGGGGTCAATCAATGCCTTCATCTCCTCCATGGCTGGGTGATGCTAAGGGGAGTCTTAGGAGGCAGCAGTCAGAGCAGTTGTCTAGGGAGAGCTGAGAGTCGTGGAGACAGGGCTCCCTCAGAGTTAGGAGAGGATGCTGGAAGCTGAGCATAAGGCTTCCTGTGAGGCCTGCTGTGGCGAGGGAAGGGAGCGGCTGGAGGAATACAATTTCAAGGTCAAAGGTGGCATGGTGGGTGACATGACTAAGTCAGGCTGCGCATGACCTGGGACCTCCAGAGAAATGTGTGTCCTCCCCCTTTCCCTCTGACCTCCTGCTTGTTGTCAGAGGTCACCTAGAGGTCAAAAAGATTCCAGGGTGTGATAATATGTCTTGGGCTCTCTCTTCTTTGCATGCTGTCTCTTTTCAGCCCAGTCCTTTTGGCTTTGTTCCTTCTCCAAGTTCCTTCTCTCTCCTTTTAGCAAATTTCCACAGGATCCCCCTCTCCAGGATATAGCATCCAGCTCCAACTTAACAAAATTCAGCCTGAGAGAGCTTAGCCCAGTCCAAGGTAGCACATTCCACAGGGCTCATTTCATCTCATATAATAAACCTCTGTTTGTGGACAGCAGGTACAGTGCCAGGCCCTGAGGTGGTTGAGCCGTTCGAAACTTTTCCTTTGAGTGAGCCAAAGTGAGTCTTCCTGTAGCTCCATCCTTGGGCCTCTCTCTAGCTTTGCCCTTTGAAGTCACACAGAAAAGTATAATTCATTGCCATCTAATCCTCAGGTATTTCAAAATGGTTGCCATGTCCAAGAGTTTTCTCTGCTCCACAAATAAATGTTCTTTGTTTATGTTTCAAAAAATACATATAGTTCTATAAATCAGTTAAAATAGACATATATATATATATACTTTTTTGTTAATTGAGAATTTCATGCATCATATTTTTCATCCCCCCATCCCCTTCCAGATCCACCCCCAATCCATACCCACTCAACTTTATGTCTTTATTTATTTTTACTTTTTGTTCACCACACAGTATCGGTTCACTTGTGGAAATTGTTTCAAAACATCACAAAATCGTAAAGAATGAAGTAAAACTCCACCTTGCCCTCTTACTCCCTGAGCTGACAATTGCAACATGTTTTCTTGTAACTAGCCAATTTTTTCTGTGCATACTGTACATTCCACATTTCTTCCTTATCAAAATGGGATCGTCCTAAGGGATATTTTTGAAACGTATGCATTTCACTCTTGAATACATTAGCTGTTTACGAATTCCTCCGCCATGACAATTTGAATGTGGAGCTGTTTTCTTCACTGTTTTTCTGGTTCCAGGGGTCAAACCCTGCTGCGCCTGCGCTCCACCACTGAGCCATAGCTACAACTCTGCCTTGATTTTTTTTCTTTGCTGTACAGATCACAGTGGGGCTATAAAACTCAAGCAGAGTCCTGGGAGGTGGGAGCTGGATAAGGAGCCCTTGAATCCTATTAATCACATTCTTTAACATCTAGCTTTTACATTTTCTGCATTGATACCATGATTTTTGATGTGGCTACAAGGATTGACCACAATTAATAAAACTAACAGGTTTCCTATTATTGGACACTGAGGTTGTTTCTAATTTTTGAACATTACAAACCCGGCTGTGATGAACATCCAAGACACTAAATCTAGGCAGGTGCTGGCCACTGAGGTCAGGAGGAATATTTTTGAAACCTCTAAGCATGAAGTGCCTGCCAGTTGTTGTAACTGGAAGCTTTTTGGCTAAGGCCCAAAAGGTGGCTAATGCCAAGCGCTCTGCTCAAACCTTTTGGCTTGCTGAGGTCAGTACCCATTACCCAGCTCCTGTCACAGAGTGTTCAGGCTGCCAGGGCCTTGGGGACCACTGAGCCAGCACCCTCATCTCACGTGAGAGGACTGAGGCCTGGGATGGTCCCTTTGGCAGCACAGTGCTGGCCAGAACCCTCCCAGCCCCCAGCACCCGGGTTCCTAAACTAGGAGCTGAGCTGTGCCATTTGGAATCCGCCCTGCAAACTCCCTGGGCCCGCTCCCCACACCACACAACCCTCTGCCGAGGCCAAAGGGGGCTGTAGGCACTTTTGCAAGTCAACTGAGCAGTGAGGGGAGGATGTGGGTAGGCATTGAAAGGTGACTTGAGGTTTACCCTGCAAGAGACTGGACCTGCTCCATCCAGAACCCCTCTTTATCCCAAGCCACGTGACATGCTTCATGGCAGTGACCCTGTATCAGGTCCACCTGGCAAATCTACTTGGGATTTGAGCTGAAATACCTGGTGAGTCCCCCACTGTTCTTGGAACTGGCACCTACTTTTCTCACTGGGAACCAGCTTTCCTAAAGGCCCCTGTCCCAGACAAGCCTGGGTGCCTTTGGGAGTTAATGAGCTCCCCTCTTTCCCCCCTTGGGCCTTGATACTTACTGCCTGGGGAACTCACACAAATGGTGTGAAACTGGCCTCTTCTTTGTTTTCCTTTCTGACTTGGAGCTATCCCAGATCCCTCGCCTCCACCCGGACCCTGTTTATTCAACTGGGAGAGATTTAACCCCCAAGAACATTGCTCTCTCTCCAGGAGCCCCCTCCCTAAATCTTCACAACCGTCTGTCCCACATCCCCCCACCCCTGCCTGCAACGCCTGAATAATTGATGAGTCAAGGCAGGGCTCATAAAAGGGTCTCTGGGGGGGAATAGCCCAGAGTGCTGCTGGAGGTTCTGAGAACCACAGTCATCTGCCTTGGTGTCCCAAGGATGGACCCTGCTGCTCCTGCTGCTGCTCCCCGGGGCCTGGCCCTGGCCCAAGCCCCCGCCCTAGCACAAATCAATGGACAAGAAGTTTCTGGGAATGAAAGGTAAGTGGAACTTGGCCTTTGACAGCCTGAACCCAGGGTTAGGGAGATGAAGGCTGGAGAAGGTGAGATGCCCATGGTGATGGTGGCCCTGTTCTCCTTGAAGTGGGGAGACAACGAAGAGCCCCAGACCTCCCTCTACACTTTTGGCTGGAATATTTTACCTCACGCATCACCCCAGGTGACAGGAGTGGGCTGAGAGACAGTGGCCATTGCCAAAGCTGAAAGCCAAGCAGCCTGACCCTCGTGGGCTAGTCTGTACAACTCCCCGAGGGAACAGGAGAAGTTGTCCTGGAAACCGGGCTTAATGCAACCTGGACTATGGGACCTAGATGGTGGCAGGTGACACAGGGTGAGAGGGACAAAGTCTAAAGAGGCCTTTGGTTGGGGTGCTGCCTCTGTCCTGAGCATGCCATAAGTTTCCTATTTGCTTGTCCTTGCCTCTAGAAGTCTAGAGAAGAAGAAATGGGCCCAGGAGTATTCTGAGCCCTTTCTTGAGCTAGGAAAATGGCAGAATTCTCTTCTCTACCGCTTGATGCAGGAGGTAGGCAGCAAGACACTCCTCCAAATGTTCCACATTCACATCCAACAAACGGTTAAGACCCTCCTGTGTACAAGGCATCGTACTAAGGGTTGAGGATTCAGATATGCCCATACATATCATTCAGATTAAGAGACTCAGATGACAATCACAAAACAGTGGGACAAGAGCAGCGATAATGCTGTTGGAGTAGAGATGTGGGGTATCTGTCACAGCCTTGGCTCAGTGGCAGGGGACAAAAGGTATTCTGGAGCAGATGGCTTGTGTGCCAAGCTTTCAGGAGACCACTTCTGTCATCAGAGGAAGCCTGTGCTTAGGTCTCTTCCTCTCCCAACTGATCTGTTCTGTTTGCCCTAGAGAAACTTGTCTTTGGAGACCCTGGCTGTCCTCCGTAAATGACCAACCAAGGCAGGTGAGGATGCTGGTGGACTGGGTGAGTGTGAGGCCCTGTGGCATGTCTGCATGGGCACAGCCATGTTCTTCTCAGACATCCCCTGACTCCAGTCTAAGGCTGTGGATCTGGGGCAGCATCTTGCCAACTCTGCTCACATTTTACCCCCACAGAACCTCTGAGAGGAAGGCAGGGCCAAGGTTTCCATGACAAATGAGACCGGGAGATCAAAGCCTAGAGTGGGTAAGGGACCTGGGCTGGACTCACAGTGTGTGGTAGAGCTGTCGCTGGAATCCAGGTCTCTTGATACCTCGTCCCAGTGCTCTCCCACTCTGCTCCATGAATGTTTTATCCTGTAAGAGAACTCTGTCCCCTGGACAGCCTCCAAACAGGCCCTGGAACAAGGTCAGGGAAGAAAACAAGACCCATGACACTTTCCACTTGTTTTTAGATCAGATCCCAGACAGACCCCTTGCTGTAGGGCAGGGCTGGGAGGTGGCTGGAACTCAAGAGATGCCTAGAGTCTTGTGTAGATTGTCGGACCCTGCAGATCTCTGACCCTCGCTGTGGGAGAGGCAGTTAAGCCACATGCTAGCTTTTGCTTTGGACAGGCTGCTGGTGGGGCAACAGCGGCTGGCGCCACCAAGGCTGAGTTCCATCACCCTGTCAGGTAAGCTTCTGTTGTTCAAGTTCAGAACGGGGCGAACAGCCACGAGCACTGTGAATGCTCAAGACGAGGCGGTGACTCAGGAGGAAAGAGACCACGGGACTTAGCAGGCCAAAGTGACTTTCCCCAGAGGACTTCCCTGTCACTGAGCCCTAAGGATGAATCCTTAGTAGGAAAAGAAGGGATGGAGTGATGGAGTGGTTAATGGTGTCAGTGCTAGAATTGAAAGACGCTGGGTGGGCCCTACCCTCAACCTCAGCTGTAGGCCTGTCAGAGGTGACGTGCCTTCCTGGAACCATTTTGTAACACTTGCAAAGATTCTGTGCCAAAACTGCTTCTTCATTTCCCTCTAAGACCTTTCCTGCATCTAGCAACCAGATCTAAGGGTCTGAATCCTTCTTGGCCCTACTGGTCCCTCTGCATTTGAGAGCTGCCTAAGTTTGGGGCCTTGTTTCTTTTTTTTTTTGTCCACAGGCTCTTCTGGCCTAAATCCCGCTCCTTTGACTACCTGTACAGTGCTGGGGAGATGTTACTACAGAACTTCCCTGTCCAGGCCACCATCAACTTATATGAGGATTCCAACAGTGAAGAGGATGAGGAGGACAAGGAGGAGGACGAAGAGGAGGAGGAGGAGGTCAATGAAATAGGGCCAGAAGGGTGTGCGAGGGTACCAGAGGCCACACCACACAAGGCCACAGCTCATTCCCCTGACCAACCCCTGACCTGTCCAAACTGAAGCAGTCCCAGTTACACTTGACAGGTTTCCAAGGGCATTGATTAGCAAAGAGTCTCCAGACACAGATTTTCTGGACTGAAACCAGTGTCCTCAAGCTGTCTAGCTTACCCTGGCTCCCCTGATGGGCCTGCGAGTCTAGGCCTCTGGTATGTTCCTGTCTGGGCTGTCCTTGTGCCAACAGTAGGAGATTCCTCAGACCTGGAAGGATATCAGGAAGACTTGATTTCTGAAGCCCTCAGGAAGTAGAGCAGGGCAGGAGATGCCCTTGGACAAGAGAGCAGGCACTCCCCAGGGCCCTTTGATCCCCTAGTTTTCAAAGGTAGCCACGTGAGCCAGTCTCCGGGGGAGAAAGGCTGACTTCCAGAGACACCAACACCAGACCCAAGCAATACTGGGGCACCTTGAGGGAAGGGAATGGAACGGAATGGAATGGAAGGAGGCATCTTGAGAATCTGCTTGTCTGGGGACCTGCACCCGCTTTGCCTGCTATTCATTCAGTCTGGGTATTGGCATAAGATGAATCAGGAGGAAAATAAATGGAATGATGTTTGCCTTGTTCTTGGAACTGTGCTGATTTCTTAACTGAACTCTGCCCGTGTTGTGAAGCCACAGGTGGAGGTCAGTTCGTTGCTCCACCTCTGCCTGAGGTCAGCTGACAGATAGTTCTCCTCGGAGAATGCAATGCTGGGGACAGAGACTTGGGCCAGGCCTTTTCTGTCCACTTATGAAACCACGCTTGATTAAACTGCAAGGGCCGCTTAGAAAAGTGAGGGGAAAGCCCCCCCGTGGGGTAAAGGTGAGACACGTTTTCTCATTTAGTCCTTCGGGGCTGCTGTCACAGATGAGGAGGAACACTTGAGCACCCACCAAATCCTGTCGATTGTATCTCTTTGGCTACTTTTCAATGAATTTTCTTACTTCCAGCATTTTCTTTCACAATCTGTCTGCACGTGGGCCACCAAATCAGGTCATGGTCTTGCCTCACCAACAGCTAGCCTTATGGTTTGCTCTTTTTTTTCGGGGGGGGGGGTGACACAGATTACCAATGAAGCACTGTGGCTCTTTAGGAAAACATACGCCGACATACTTTAAAACACTCTACATTCACAAATCAAGTCTTTACGGTGGTATTCTGGATTCTTTAATCATTTACTTTATTTTATTTTTAGACAAGGTCTTGCTCTGTATCCCTAGCTGTTGTGGCACTTTCTAGCCCAGGCTGGCTACAGACTCACAGCAGTCCTTCTGTCTTAACTCTCCCCAGCCGGGATTACAGGCGTAGGCCCCAATGCCTGGTGCTAATCATCCAGTCTTTGCCTGTCTTTTCAGACTCATCTTTCTACCCTTGAATGTAGCATGCTTTCGAACTCCTCCGTGCCTTTAAACTCCTGCCTGCAAAGGCTTTCCACTCTTCTAGGCCCTTTAAACTCTCGGTCATTCGATAGAAGTACCTCACATTATCTCTCTGTGCGGAGCATCTCCAGGCCCCCAAATCCAGGATGGATAACCTCACACACACCCACTGTCTCATTTACGATAGCATCTGCCTCCGCCTTACTTTTGCAGGAACCCGTGTTTGGTATCCCATGCAACTTCCTAGCCTAGCACCCCTCACAAAAGATGGCTCGGAAAATCATGAAGGAAAATTGCCTGGATGTTCTCAAAGCTGTTGATTCACCTGCCCACCTCCTCGACTCTTTCCTTAACTGTGGAGGGGAAAGGCTGATGGCATCTTATTGAAAAGCAAAATGGCGCCTCCTTTCCTTCCCCTTCTCTCTCAGCCTGAGAGAGTTGCTCCAGTTCTGAGCCCTCGCTGGGACTTCCCTAAATGGGACGGCCAGCCTGGAGGTAAGCCACCAAACTCAAGCACTGCTGCCATCTATCGGTTAAAATTGAGCCTTGGTCTTGGGAGAAGGCTGTCAGGCAGTTGAACTTTGACCCCTCTCATTCCTTCAGCCCATTCGGTTTCTTCTGGTAAGTGAAGTGGAATTTCCCAGGAGCCAGATGCATGACCTTGGGTGAGTTACTGATCGACCCTGAGCTTCATTCTCTTGATCTTCGTCATGAAGATATGGGTGACAGTTGCTGTCAGTGTGGCCGTGTAGACTCAGTGAGACGGAATAAAGAAAACAGCCCAAGCCAGGGCACACAGGATGGCTACTCACAGGACAGCAGCGGTCACAGGGACAGTGTTTGTACTGGGAATTACTGACCGTATAAAAGAAATCTGTGTCCGGACTTGAGGGAGATGGTGACTGATTTATTTAACTAACGAGTATGTCTCGGGCCCCTTGGGTTAATCTTTGTCATCATTTGATGGTTTACCAGTCAGAGCAAGGCTGGCAGTGTTTATAAACAATTAAAACACAAGAGAGGCCTGCTGTGGCTTGCTGACCACTGGACAGTCAAGTGGTTGCTTAGATTCCTTTGTCCTGGGACAGAGGTTCTAAAACTTGACAGTCTTTAGCAAGAAACCCTTTCTTCTGAATTGAATGCAAAAGACTAACATGTAAACTAGATAAAAACGGAAGTCACAAAGGGGACTATGAGGTTGCAGAATCTCCCCTACCCCATGTTGTTATAAACTGGCTCTCCCATTTTCTCTTGTGAAATCCCTTCAAGGATCCCCAGACCGCGAGGAAGACAATTTGGAAACACTGTCCCTAGGGTTAAGTCAGGAATGATTGGAAACCCAAGGAGGATTAATTAGTCATTTAACATGTCCAATGTTCCGTTTAAAACCCTTGTTTTGAGTCCTAAGCTCCTAGCATTGCAGAGCTCATAAATTGCTCAAGTTCTTCTTCTACCATAGGTTATAGGGATTTAAAATTCTTGGAATCCCAATATCCTTGCTTTTAAAGTATTATATAGCATAGAATTACAAATCCGTAAATCCTCATGGGCTTTAAGACCCTAAAACCTGTGGAATAGTAATTCCTAACTCTGAGGGAGTGCTTCTCACTGGCCTCCCTCTCCTCCCTCACTGCTCACGTGCTATTTTACTGGGCTGACATTTTGTCTTATGTTCCTCCCAGGCTCGTGTCCTGAAACGGCTTCCAAGACCCCTCCCCCTGCGCAGTTGCTTAGTGATGGAAAGTTTCTGTTCTACTAGGCAGAGCCAGTGAGCCCTGCCTCACAACAACTCCAGTGCCACTGCGGAGATTCAGGAGAAAATACCTGCACAAAATTCAGAGTACTTCTAGTTCCTCCTACTTGTCCCACCCTTAGGGTCCCATCCACCATCACCCCAGCGTGAATTGTTCCCTACTTGACAATAACATTCATTGAAGGTGAGGTTGTGCGTGTTTGAGTTGGGCCTTGAAATATGGACATCGATACAACAAACACCGGGGCCCAGAGAGATCAAAACAATAACGTAAGGCTGCCATGTTAGAAAAAAAAGGCAGATGGGGAGATGTAAAAAAAATAAATAAAGAGGTTGGGAAGATCTGGGAGGAGTTGGGAGAGGAGAAAGAATGTGCTCAAAATATATAATATGAAAAAAGTAACCTCCAACGATTTTTTAAAATTTATTTAATATGTATGGATTTTCACCTGCCTTTGTATCAATGCACCATGCAAATGCAGTGCCTGAGGAGGCCTGAAGAGGGCATCAGATCCCCTGGAATGGAGTTACAGACAGTTGAGTCATGATGTGTGCAGGGAATCAAACTCCAATCCTTTAGAAAAACAGCCAGTGCTCTTAACCACTGAGCCTCAAGGCTCAAAATTTCACTACCAGAGACTGGGGAAAAAAGGGAGCAGACTGTCTACTCTAACCACAGAGGTCCAGTTTGAGGGGGTGTGGGTGGCTGGCGATGCCACTGAGGCTTCTGCATCCCAAAGGGCACTGGTGGGAGAAGGACTTGGGGGCGTGGCGGAACCACGGATAGTTCTTGAAGCGTTGCTAAGCAGCAGGCCTGAAGACTTGACATGAAACGTTCA